GAGACGGAGCTGGACAGTCTCGATGGAGAAGCGGGGGATGCGGGGGTGCGTATACCCTCCTCTCGCCGTCGTCGAGCGCGGGGCTACGTGTACGCAAATGTGCGGGACGCGGGGGTGGGTATCCTGCGCGCCTCTCTCGTCTGCGTGTGCGGAAGACACGGATACAGACTGGATGCCCTTAGCACGACCCGTACGCTACGCTACCGATCTACTACGTCCACTGCATCTTTTGCTTTTCGCTTCTCGTACCTATTTTTTGTGCTCAATCTCTCTTTTTCTTTTCTAAATTGACCATAGACGCACGCGCGCGCGCTCAGAACGTATACCCGTGAATACTAATCTGGCTTTCAGTGAGTAAGGAGGAGATACACAGCCACTGATGGCGGTGATGGCGGGGCTACGCGAGTCTCCCGACTTCTCATTTTCTTCCGTCTCCCCTTGTCCGCTTCCTGCTAAATTTCCTTGGTATTCAAGCTCTGCCTCAATTGAGAGCTCTGGGAAACTGACTCGGACTTGCTTTTCGTTCCACCAAGGCGCTTGGCGGCGTGGCGCCGTTGGCACGCAGATAAAGAGGAAAAGAAGAACAAATGAACAGCGCCCGCCAAGGGATCTGACCGTCGACAGGCTGTCCATTAATATTTGGTTAAAAATACGCTCAAATAAGCGCGCAATGCTGCAAAAAAAAATAAACGCGGAACTCGGCAGCAGTCGAGCACCGCAATACAGCTTCCTACGTGTCTCCCACTCTCCTCTGCTCCTCCATGCCACTCTTTACATCCGCCTCTGGCTTCCAAATTACTGGCGGGACTTTCATCGACAATACAGGGGACATAAATATCCATACCACGCAGCTTGTGCAAGGGCCAACGACTGGTGCACTAGAATTTGGGGGGAAGGCCCGAGTCATGAGTTGTTGGGGGCAGAGCGAAGTGGCCAGCATATTAGAGCTGCCAGGGTCCGACCATATAGTATGTCACCTGCCCTTTGTGATTAACAGGACCTAATAAAGCCAAAAAGATGCTTCTGATCGCCCACAAATCCTAAGCGGGGCACAGAGCTCATCCATCCTTGTCGCAGATGGGGAGTCTTGGTCCAATCCGGTCCATCGGTGTTGAACCCTACCTTCCCAGTTTCCCCACAGGAACCTGGATTCTCCTCCTTCGAGTCTCATGAGCCATCTCATGACTCACATTTTGCACTGATGTCAGCTATGCGGGAGGTTGGCAACGACATTTCGCCCTCAAATAATCTATCAGCTGCACTTGCTCCAGACCCCTTCTATATGGTTTCAGAACAAACAGAAGATGGATTTGCTCCATCTTTGCATCCTCCGAGCACAACAGTGGATACATACATTTCTTATGCCTCAGGTAACTTGGGGCTCTCGACAGACCAATTTAGGGAACCTGCAGGTGTTCGCAATGATACTAGTTCTGTTGCTGCTTCAGTTACCTCCCTTGGGATGACCAACCCATGAGCTGAAAACCATTAGTGGTGGGACATTCATCAGCGGGAATGTGAATTATATTGTGACCCCACTGAGTAAGATTCCCATTTGAATAGTGTTGCTCCATTTTTACCTGGGTTTTCCAGATATCTCAATTGCTCAGGCAGTTCAACAGACTAACAATTGCCCTCCACCATCCAGAATCTTCCAAGGAAGACAGGCAATCCGTGATGAAATGAATCAATTTTTTAATCATGACATTCAAAAGCAACACATTTATTTGCTGTATGGACTAGGTGGTGCAGGAAAAACACAAATTATGCTGAAATTTATCAGTGACTCATCATGGTAAGTCAAAATTGGACAAATAAATTATTAAAACACTTATCATGGGCCCAGCTTTACAGACAAATTTTTCCTTGATGCAAGCACAAATGAAACTATCAATACAGGTCTAAAAGAGATTGTTGTAGCAAAAAATGCTGGCAACTCTGCACAGGATGCATTGAAGTGGCTGGTGAACAATCATGGAAACTGGCTGTTATTCTTTGACAATGCAGATGATCCGAAGATCGACCTGAATACCTTTCTCCCTAAGTGTAATCATGGCAACATTGTCATTACTTCTCGAAACCCTGGACTCTGTGTCTATGCTGGATTACACTCTCCCGTATCTGATATGGAGGAAACAGATGCTGTGGCATTATTACTCAAGAGTGCAGCCCAAGAGCCTTCATCAACAAATGAAAAAGTTGCAGCCAAGATTGTGAAGGTAAGTGGTGGATCATTCATGTATCTATGGGACTGGAACCCGTGTTTCCTAGGAACTGTACTACCTTCCTCTTGCCATTGTCCAAGCCGGAGCATTCATATCGCAATCTGGTGCCCTGCACAGTTATTTGGATCTCTATATGCAAAATCGGACCCAACTGCTCAAAGAAAAACCAGCTCAGAGCCATGATACCTATTCCGGGACTGTGTATACAACATGGCAAATGAGCTTTGACAAGCTCAGTCCACCAGCTGCTATGCTCTTGCAACTTTGTTCCTTCCTCCACCGTGATGGAATTTCAGAGGAAATATTTAGCAGAGCCGCAACATATACATTTCCATCTTATGGCCCATCCAAAGAGGAGCTAGAAAATCCACTCCAGTTCCTGTCACAGTTCTTAAACCCTACTGGTCAATGGAACTCTCTCCGCTTCTTGAAAGTCACAAATGAGATCAAGGCATATTCCCTAGTTACCTTTGATCCAACGAGAAAAGTGTTTTCAATTCATCCACTGGTGCATACTTGGAGTCAAACAACAATCCCAAACCAACAGTCATACCATTCAATTATGGGTGCTATAGTGGGCATGTCTGTGGAAGAAATCCCCCGCCATCATCGACAACTGGCCAGTCTGCAATTGATTTCTCACATTGACTTTCTGATGGATGGAAATCAACAGCTGGCCTCTGATTTTGGAATGCAATGTGGAATAATATATCGTCATGTGAGACGAAATGAACAAGCCAAGGAACTTTTTCTGTCAATACTAGAGAAGCAAAAAAGGGTTCTTGGTGATGACCATCCAGATACTTTATCAATAATGGGTGAACTGGCATCAACATATTTCCAACTAGACAACTTCCACAAGGCAGAAGAGTTGGAAGTTGAAGTACTGGAGAAGCAGAAAAGGGTTCTCAGTGATGACCATCCAGATACTCTACAGATAATGGGTAATCTGGCATTAACATACCACAGTCTGGGGGAGTTCTACAAGGGAGAAAAGCTAGAAGTTGTGGTGCTAGAGAAGCGAAAGAGGGTTCTGGGTGATGACCATCCAGATACTCTATGGACAATGAGTAATCTGGCATCAACATACCACACTCTAGGCGAGTTCCACAAGGCAGAACAGCTAGGGGTTGTAGTGCTAGAGAAGCAGAAACAGGTTTTTGGTGATGACCATCCAGGTACTCTACTCACAATGAGTACTCTGGCATCCACATATCACAATCTAGGCAAGTTCCACAAGGCGGAGGAGCTAGAGGTTGTATTACTGGAGAAGCACAAAAGGGTTCTTGGTGATGACCATACAGACACTCTATCTATGATCAAGGATCTGGCAAAATCATACTACACTTTAGGCAACTTCCACAAGGCAGAAGAGCTATGGGTTGTAGTGCTGGAGACGCAAAAAAGGGTTGTTGGTGATGATCATCCACATACTCTTCAGGCCATGCATAATCTGGCAATAACATACCACAAGTTAGGCAACTTCCACAAGGCAGAAGAGCTAGTGGTTCCAGTGCTGGAGAAGCAAAAAAGGGTTCTGGGTGATGACCATCAAGACACTCTATTTACAATGAGTAATCTCGCATGTATATATCTTGGGCTAGGGGAGTTCCACAAGGCAGAAGAGCTGGGAGTTATAGTGCTGGAGAAGCGAAAGAGGGTTCTTGGTGATGACCATCCAGGAACTCTATTTACGATAGGTAGTTTGGGCTTGACTTATCATAAGATTGGCAAGTTCCACGAGGCAGAAGAGCTGGAAGTTCAAGTGCTGGAGAAGCAAAAAATGGTTCTTGGTGATGATCATCCAGATACTCTTCAGACCATGAGTATTCTGGTATCAACATATCACAGTCTAGGGGAGTTCCACAAGGCAGAAGAGCTGGGAGTTATAGTGCTGGAGAAGCAAAAGAGGGTTCTTGGTGATAACCATCCAGACACTCTATTTACAATGGATAGTTTGGGCTGGACTTATCGTGAGATTGGCAAGTTCCACAAGGCAGAAGAGCTGGGAGTTACACTGCTGGAGAAGCGAAAAAGGGTTCTTGGTGATGACCATCCAGATACTCAATATACAGTGGGTCAGCTGGCATCAACATATTATAGTTTAGGAGAGTTCCTCAAGGCAGAAGAGCTGTATATTGTAGTGTTGGAGAAGCGAAAAAGGGTTCTTGGTGATGACCATCCAGAAACCTTAAATGCTATGGTACATCTAGGATCAACATATCACACTCTAGGCAAGTTTCACAAGGCAGAAGAGCTGGGAGTTGCAGTGCTGGAGAAGCAAAAAAGGATTTCTGGTGATGACCATCCAGACACCTTACGAGATATTCGAAATCTAGCACTTACCTACCGCTGTCTGAACAAACTAGCAGAGGCAGAGGAGCTGGAGAAACTTGCTGGCAGCAATGAGGAAGCATTGCAGGGTTCTATCAATGAAACACCAGATGGTTCAGAAGGGAATCTTTGAAGTTCTAGTGTCTTGAATTTCTATACTCTTTCCCCTTGTACTTACTACGTATTTATAATGAATCACATATTTTATGTCAGTTAGTGGCTTTGCAAAGTATATGTTTATGTCAAAACAGAAGTCCAGGGTAAAGTACATCCCGAAAAGAGGTGAATCAGGAAGCAGTGATTTAATGTACATGAAAACCACACTCCTTTCCAAAAACGGAATTGAACAGAACAAGAAAAATCAAACTTGATGAGGAGATAATTACATGAGTTGAAGGAACCGAGACCCATCCTAGTGAGCCTGGAACAATGACTTGCATCGCATTAATGGGGTAGTGGTAACCTGGGTCGTTGCCACATTCGAGCATTCGAGCCACACAACATGAAACTCAACCTGCCGGGGGTTCGATTCCCCCTTAATGCATACATTATTTATAGCCAAAACTGGTTTTTTCCTTTTTCCTTATCGTGACACTCGCTCCTTAACATCTTTCGTTATTCGGTGAGCTTTGCCCGGCTCATCATATCTTGCCCAGCCTCGCCGCCGGGGTTTTTCGGCATTTTTTTTGATTACCAGCCCCAATATTTCAGCCGCAGGCACATTTATTGTCAGAAACCAGAAACACCGTCGCTGTGAAGATGTACTTATGAAGACGTTTGATGAGATTTTGAATTTCTGAATTCATTGAAGCACGGGCATGTCTGTTGGTTGCTGCAGTTTGTAAGCTTGAATGCACGAATAGAAACATTACATGGTACAGTTGTCGAAGCTCATACGTAGTAAATCTGTAAATGCACAAGATCCACTTAGAATTGAAGCGGTGTTTTCTTTGTCAAAGTGAGCTGTGTAGGGGCTCTTGAGCTCGGGCCTGGCCGCAGATGGTGCAAAAATTTGAGTTGGGACCAACTCTGGGCCCTTCGTGGGCTTGAAGTCAGGCCAGGCTGGGCTTGTGCAGGATACGTGGAATTCGTGTGTACCAAGGTTGAAAGCCCTGCTCAAATCCTCGATTAACAGACTGCATCGGCAAAGAGAGCCGAACATCACACAATCTAGATTCCGACTATGTAATACGGAATGTTAGAGCTATGCGCGGCTTTTTGGGCCATAAAGAAATTGTTCATGTTCGGTATTATTATCCCTAAGCTGGCTCGGGCATCGGTAGTCGTTATAAGGTCCCTCCGCTCATATCAAGGCCAAACTATCCAGAAGGTTTTCAACATGCTGACATGCACTACTACCTGGGCCGACTTCAGCAACCATACCATGTCCCTAACTCCGAGTCCGCAGATCAATAATATCGAAAGTGTCCATGATGATATTCACGGATGCGTGTGATTTTCTCCACTAACAATGTGTGGTATTATTGTAATCAACTTGAACTACAGTTTCGTTGGAGGCTCGGGCACATGTCTTGGCCACAAACCGCCGCTTTCTATCCCATTTTCTGGTTGCACCATGCAAATGTAAACCGATTGTTCTCGCTCTGGTCTGCGGTCAACCCTGGGGTTTGGGTTACGGCCGGATCGGAGGTGGAAGGGACCGCCGAAGGGTGTGACGCTGAAAGTCAACTCTGGTACGTTTCCTATTCTTACTCATGGTGTATTAGGACTGAGTCGCTCTTTCCAGACCTGACCCCATTCTGAGCATCGGAGACGACATATTGGAAATCAACCCAGGTGCAGACCACTGCCTCGCTCAACTACTCATATCCCGAGTTCAATGGGCTGAACATGGGCGATGTTGCTGCGGGGAAAAACAGATTAACCAGACAATTGTCGATTTGTACTGGAACCTTCCGCTCCTACCAACCCCGCGCATTATCCTCACCTCGAAGGACAATCACTGGTTCGTTTCGACCACAGTCGCGAGTACCGCGAACCCGGAAAGGACCGTGCAATCCAGGGACTGGACTGCCCGCATCCATGTCGAGAAATATGCACTAAACGGAAGTTTCTTCATCGTCATCTTCATCGGCCCCCATCAGGAAAAAAGCACTTGGTTATGTAGTGCTCGGTAGCCAAAATACCTGTGGTAGCCCCGTAGGCAAGTCCCCCTTTATGGTAGCCCCGTAGCCACGTGCCGTGGTCTGATAGCTCCTGGTAGCACCTGGTAGCTCTCGCGCATGGGCTCCCGTAGCGTCTCGTAGCAGTCTCGTAGCACCTGATAGCTCTACGGTCATTCTTAGTAGAACTCAGTAGAGCAGTATACCAATTAATAGTGAGTAGTAGTCACACATAAAATGACGCGAACGATATGCATTCAAACTACATAAAGACATAAAAGTGCTCTAAGCAACATACCAGGCTGCTGCATCCCTCTGTACAAGCCCAGAATACTCGCACATAGCTGCAGACGGCTTTGAGTTGATACATAAACGCCAAAATCAGAACCGGTGAAAGAGGAGTGAAAGGAACTCACACGATGATCCCACGCACATCCTTGATTTGGAGCAACGCTGATTCTGAGGTGGATGGATGAGTCAGAAATGTCACAAAGAAATGAAAACTCAAGCGTGATGGCCGGCAGTCTACGACAGAAAATGCTGCTCAAACATGGCGGTAATGGGAAGAACCGGTGAGATAAACCCGAATCAAGACCAGATTGGAAGACCCTTGAGGAAGGACAGCCATTGAGGTAACTTGTGGTAACTTGCATTGCAGCCATATTGCGAGCGATAATCTCGAAACAATCTTGCGGTAATCTTGCACGGATCTTGCAACAATGTGAGAGCATTTTAGAGAGCAATATTGAGGGTGATTATTTGCAATGTCTTGAATAGATCACAGCGACCCGTGGATAGCACGAGCAGGACAAAGGGATTGGATTGTAACATTGAGCCGAGCCCGGGCAGGTAGCAGGTGGCGGGTGTGTCACTGATGGCCAGCTGGGGGTACATTACAAGACATGGAATAAAAGGCAGACCCTGGGGTGTCTTCGCAGCATGGAGAAGGGGAAGAATGAGGGAGAGGACACAGGGAAGATGGGGGAAAGGAAGAAAGGCGACGAACCGCCGTTGTGTTGCCAACCAACAATCACGCCTGATCACGCCATATCATGCACACGTGCGGCGGACTTTGAAATGGACTTGGCAGATTTCTAGCTGCACGATCATGTCCGCGATATATGTATCCAATATGTTTTGGTGAATGTTGTAGACGAGCCATTAAGTTGGAATGAAGTAGTAAGCATTCACCCGAGGTTCAAAATATCAATCGGCTAAACACCAACTATTCGGCGCTACTGATCTCCGTGAGCCAGCTATCAGATGGTACTGATCCTGCAGTGACGGCTATCAGGCTACCAACTGCTACAGATCCTCGCAGAGAGCTACGGCGCTACCGGTGATATACAACTGACCTTTGAGCTATGTAGGAAAAACTTTTTTCCTGATGCCGTGCCTTCCGACACGAGCCAGTGGCACACCTCTCCCTCTTTCTCTGGGTCGCAATTCGCCTCAGCAAACCCTCAAATTCCGGGGGCGCAAGCACAAGGGGAGGCCACTGCGCAAACTGCCAAAACCAAGCCGCGGCGGGGTCGTGGTCGAGGGCTTTGTGCACCTCAACACAGCCCTCGCCCGCGTCATCGCCGATCCAGATAAAGCCTCGCATCTTTCGAACCCGCGGATGTGGTGTCATCCTGACGGAGCACCTTTCGTGGCGCGTAACGCGTGCGGACCACACGCCCATCGACACGGTGGAAGTGCCCCCTTCGCTGGATGTTCAAGTCTCCGCCACTCTAATGTGGATGCGCCATGGGGACCAGCTACCGTCGTACGGCGAGCCGGAATTCTTCTCAGAGATTACCGCAAGTCGCAGTGCGTGAAGACTCAGATAGAAACCAATAGTCGTAATTTCCCCGATATCCTCACTGGCACTGCTATCCAGCAACCCGATCCCCTTGTTTTTCAAACGCCTATCGTACAACTATTTTCCTTGAACCGTATCATGTTGATATAAGTGATTTGACTCTACCTCGATACTTCTACCTACGACATCTTGATTTTGATTCCATGTCCTTCACGCGAGCGGGTCAAAGATTGTGCTGAGGTTGCATCCGCGTTCACTCCCGATGGACGCCCATTCAAAAAGTGAAAGGACAGCTTACAAAGGAGCGTTGGACACGGTACGTCCCCTCTCTTTGAATCAAAAAGCTATGTTCAACTCGACAAATGCAAGGAGTATATAATGCAGATTGTTGGACAAGGAAGATCAGGAACCATCCACCACAACTGATTTCGCGAAAATCTTCAGCGCCCGAGTCGACGGTCGGAAGCGAAGTGATTGAACTTGACGATGTCTCGCAGACCCTCCAAGTGATCATGAGCTTCCAATAGTGATCGTATTTCTGGGCTGGTCCGCGTTGTACATAGCATCAGTTATGGCGAGAAATCCTGCTGTGGATGCATTTTTTTTCGAATATTGCTTTCAGCAGCTATACATGCAGTAAATAATTATCGCTTGCAAAATCCACGAGTAGGGACACACATTCAACTGGTTTCAATTGAAGAATACGACGAACTTCTCAACTCGCAGTGAAAAGCCACATAAACTTGACGTACTTCAGCCATGTTCCTTAACATTTTTGTTGAAATTTTACTTGCATCCTCAACCAACCAATCTCTGGCGCGAATTGGGAACCTGAGCTTGTGCTTAGTGTCAGCGGGCGCGGTGGCTGAGGAGCCCGTCGAAAGCGAAGACTAGAGAATCACTGCGTTCAGAGGGTTTCTAGCCCCGCGCCGCCTCGCCGGATCTAGCCGGCTGAATTGCTGTTTCAACTCCATACTCCGGATAAGTCTCGGGTATATCTTGATTTTCTACCTCAAATATTCTGGGTTGATGCTGTCTGCAGTTCATAAATGCTCGGTAGGGTATCGATTTCGAGGGTGATATTACAGAATTATCTACCTTCTTGAACTACGACGCGGTGCACTGCACTTGTTGATGTTTCGTTCAGTATCTTTGGGACTTCGCTGCGTACTGGAATTTCCGGTCATTCATAGACTGAAGTCCAGTCTTGAATGACTTTGGTTCGATTCTCTGCCGCGTATGTCAGCCGATATGACATCTGATCTCGGCAACAATAAAGACGCGTCTGGATGCCATAGCATGAAGTGCTGCTCTGTTCTTGCGTCCATCCTCGTCGCCCTCGTTTCCCTCCTGCTATATACGCAGTTTCACCAGCATGCCCTCTCTCTTGACTGTCCAGGCCTCCAATGCCGCCTTCTCCCCTTCTTACATTCCTGTCGCGATTTTTGTCGGCGGGACTTCCGGCATCGGACAGGGCATGGCCGAGGCCTTCGCGCGACACACAAAAGGAAACGCGCACATCATCCTCGTCGGGCGCAACCGCGCTGCTGCCCAGTCCATCCTCGCGACCTTCCCAAAACCCGGACCGGGCACCACGCACGAATTCGTCGAGTGCGA